ACTGCCTTCCTGCGTAGTCTATGGCTGAATAAGATTTGGTGCCAAATATCTTCGGATTTGGCTGAACTGAATCAGGACAGTGATTTGAATCACTGTCCTGCTGAATCCAAAGTGAATACTTTCTGCTTCATGCAGGCCTAGTATTATGTAGCAACCTGCCAGCCCTCACGCACAGGGACCATTTGTAATGACAGGTTACATATTGTTGCCAGTAGTTCTGAAATTTCACTTTTGAGTTTCTTCAGAGCTCTTGGGTGAATGCCATCCAGTTCAGGTGACTTATTAGTATTTAGTTTATCAGTTTGTTCTAAAATTTCCTATGTTGTCACTTGAGTGTGGTCCAATTCTTCCATCTACTACAAAGGATTGCGGTGGTATGGGAATTTCCCCAGCAACCTGTTCCATCATGAAGCTCCTCACTTACCATGCCTCAATTGTGATTCTTCTCAAAGCGGGCACTGACCACTGGCTCAGAACAGCTGTGCATCCCCATTGCCAGACTAGCAGCATCCTGATGGATGTGTTCCTTTCGCTGCTCACAGGAGCGCTCCTGTAGCTCTGCTATAGAGCTCTCCAGGAGCTATCAGGCAGTGGCAACGAACCTGAGGCCTCCATTCCACAGCCTGGTAAGTTGTCCCTATAGGCAAAGGTGAAGGCTTTCCTTTCTCAGCAGCTGGATGAGGTAGACTGTCCTGATGCCTCACATCTCCTCCAGTGAAGGGCCATTTCTGACTCTAGGGTTAAAATTCAGGTCACATTTTCCAGCTTTCTTCTGTGGTGAAGGCTTGAAACATGCTTTTTTGGGATAAAAACCAACAACATGCCCCCAGGAATTCAGGCCAAAGGTAAAGCACCCAATACCATGAGGTTCATAATAAAATCACAGTAATACCATAGAACATGGGACAGTCAGTTTCCTTGGATTTAGGATTCCTTTATTGAGGTGGGTTGAAGGAATAGACCACGTGAGCTCTCAGCATAATCTGCAAAGGCAAAATACAGATGGATCTCCTCTCCTCACTCCTTACTTGTTGGCAACTAGCAGGACGCAACAGTGCGAGTGCTTCAAAATTGCTTCATGTTAATTGGGGGTGAGATAAGGCTGATGTAATGATATATTTCAAGGAGGGCCATGTTTCTGTGTTTAATGCATGGACAGATCTGTGCAAACAGGTCCATAGGGGCATGGACAGCCCTCTCAGCACAATGGGCTCATAATATTTTGAAAGAAACTAACACAGGGCATAAAAGCAATAGAAAATGCCATTCTGAACACAATGTATGGTATGTGTTAATGAGAGGATGTAAGGGGGAGTCCAAACCAGTCCTTACACCAGAATGTCATGTTTCTGATTTACAAGGAAAGATTAGATGAACTGGGATTATTTAGACTTGAGAAGAAAACACTGAAAGGGTGTTTGTAACATGAAGATATTGATAGGCCCTTCTCTGTGGCTGCAGGAGAGCAAACGACGTAATACTCTTAAACTGAAACAAGAAAAATAAGTTGGATATTAGGAAGAAGTTTCTAAGTATTAAGGTAGATAGGCACTGGAGCAGATTTCCCACACCAACTGTGGACTCCCCATCACTTGAATTGTTTAGAGCAGGTTTTACAGAGACTTGGATGAGATGGTTTAGCCAGGGATAACCTTGTTTTGAGTAGCGATGGGTGGGCTACGCAACCTGCTGAGGGTTCTTCAGTCCTGTTTTTCTGTGATTCCATACCCTGTGCAGAATCCACTGGGAATACAAGCCATCCCTCTGCCCACTCCTCTTCCTTGATTTAAAATATAGAACCTGATTTGAACTTCCCAAGCTTTTGGAGCCATCTAAGTGGACATCAGTGCCTGAGTATAATTCTAATCTAACCTGCTTAAATCCTGAAAAACTGTTAGTCTAAAAAGTGGGTGGCCTCTCCTCCTCCTCGTCTTTGCATTTTGTGACTTAGTTAAAACTGAGATAACAGAATGCTATAAAAGTAAATGCATGCAGTTTTTCAGGGACTCCCATGGGTTGCAATAGGATCCAGCTTAGGCACCTAAGTCCATTTAGGGGCCTATAAGGTAGAACAAGATACGGCCCTTGGCATCTTGGGCTAGGACCTTGAAAAAGAAGTCATGGTGCTCTGAGTTCTGTTGAATGTGGCTCCAGATGCCTGACTCCAGTTTGCTTTTTATCCCTTAACACCATCACTAGCTCTGTGGCAATTAAAAGTGTTATTTATGCTTGTATAGTGCTGTATCTCCCATGGACAAATCAGAACTAAAGGGGCTTGCTCTCAAAGGTTCTTATTACACTTTAAAGTGTTTTTAAATAAAATATACATATTCTGAGTTTGCCAACTCATGGTTCAGGCATTCTCAAGCCCTTGCTGTGCATGTCACAGCCATGCTAATATTTTAGCCAGTTCTAATTCTGTTCCATTACGTTAGCTCTCTGGCTTCTCTCCCTTACATTATCCCTTGCTAAACATCACCCTTGGCTGAGAGGTACAAAGCCAGGGTCCTTCAAGTGCTTGACACCTACAAATTATTACCTTATGATGTACCTCCCAGTAGAAGCTAGCTGTAGTTCTGATGTTGTGCAGCTATAGAATAAGTGGATACACACTCATCTTGCTGCCTTTCCCCCAAAGGGCTCACTTCAAATTAAAAAACCCTCCATTTTACATTGATTCGATTGATACAAAAAAGCATTGGTTAAATACACATTTGACAGTGCCAGGGCTTGCCTCTGTGCAGTCTTTGCTTTTGAATGAGTGTTGGGAACATTTTTTTATATTGATCAGAAAAGTTTATCTTATGAGCCAAGCCCTGAAGCCTACACTCCATCTGTATTGCTGCTGGCTCTGTTGGGCCTGGATTAAGGATTGGTATTCCAGATTCATGCATAAAGTATTAGCTCCTGGAATCATGTGATTAGAGTGTCTCATCTTACTAATTTTTTAGGTGTCATTTTCTAATCTTCCTGGTTTTAAATAACAGTTTAAGATGTGACTCCAGAATAATCAAGGCATTGAAGCCTGCTTGGCTAAGTACAGGCATTCAGGATCATTAGAGGAAGGTTAAATCAATTCAAGATGTCTGCCTGATATCAGGTAAGTCATGATGGGGGGTGGGGGGGGCTAC